GAAACACCGAATGATACGGAGGCTGCTGTCGCGAAATCCGCCCGCCGCGCGACGACTGTTCCCCGGGCCAGTCCGAAGGTGCCGACGTATGAATACTATGGATTTGTCCTATATCTTGCTTCCTCTTTAGCCTTCCGTAAGTTGTTATCTAGCGCGCACTCTGCCCAGGGACATGCTAACACTTTCCGGCACGCAGTGATCTACATCCTTTGGTCCTACCTGCCGTCCCCGTTTCTACACCAGCTTGGAATATACTATTATCCGAATCGATGGTGGTCATTGGCCTTTCCCTCATGGCTGGTGATGTCCATCATCTACATATACGTCGCCCTGGCGTCATACAACACGGGGTACCTGACGCTACCGATGAATAGCATGGAGAATATTGTGGATGAGGTGGCTAATGTCGCCGTCATTGATGGCAAGGGCAGGCGAAGACCTGGTGGAGCTGCGAAGATGAGACCTGGCGCGACATCGTATCAAATTATGGGGCCGCAGAACCGAAAGGTTAACTGGAAAGAGATATGGAGCGAAGGGACGGATGCTGTGTTGGATGTGCCAGTAGGCGGAGTCTGCGAAGTGCTTTATGGACAGGAGCGCGATGACGATGAGTTGTTTGAAGAGGCGTCTACTATTTCATAGACCGTGATGTCAAAATTCCAGATATAATCCATCATGCGCATATATCACTTCACTGTATGTGAACGACACCGTTCGTCCGGCTAGGTCCAAGTAACGCGGATCCTTTATCCCTTGATCGGCAGCTTATCACCACGTGATGCACTGGGTGCAAGAGGAAGATCGTAGAAGTACAAGAGAAGAATTGACTTCGTGGCCAACAAGAAGCTTATTTCGAAATGGACCCTAGCGGAATCAAAAGTAACTTAGAAATGAGAGCACATCAACAGAGGTTGCATGAAGACCACACACCGAAGGAGGCGAAAGAAGGTTTCGGTATGTGGGCTGAATATTGTCCATAAGGCTCATGACAAGTGCCGTGCCACCCTGGCAGCATTCCGCCCGGCAATGGCTGGTTGAAGGAAAAAGAAAAATAGAAACCAGAAAACCATAAAAATAGCGACACGTTGTGCTTACATGGCCCATCTACCATCTGCCAGGCTAAAATCCAATTCGAGACCCGCCATTCACCATGATTGGCGGTTTAGACGGAGTTTAGTGCCTTAGGTGTTGAGATGTATGGAGTAGTTGGATCTATCTAATAAGGTAGCTATCCAGCGCTACTAGTACTACACTGAAGTAGCTGAAGTGGAGGTTTGTCGTCAGGTACCCTGCAACACCGGGACCTGATCATTTGCTTTTCACCCTCAACCTCAGATTGCAACCTGTACAACACAAGGGTGAGAGTAACTAGACGCATAATCTCCTCTCTCAATGAAATGAAGTGAATGTGAAGGTCATGCACTGACCCTGACCGCATCTTAAGTGTAAAATTGGGGGTTGGGAAGGCCACCTCGCCCAGCGCTAAAAGCGGTTACGGCCGCGTGGGCGCCTACGGAGCCAACGAAAGCTCAGCGGCGGCGGTGGCTTTCCCCGACCTCAACTGCGAGGAGAACGCGCACCAGTCACTCCGATCGTCTCGGGGGCTCAAGCTTGCATCGCTGACCGTCTCCTTTCCCCTGCACGCTCAAATCCGAGAAAAATAACGGGTCCTTACTGCCCTCCTGGATTAATTCTCATTGTTTGTTTTTCCTCCCCTCGGCGTTGACACGGCCTGGAACTTCGCTTCCTGCCGTTGTCGCCCGTTCCCTCCACCTGTGGGCTTACACGGAGACAAACACTCGGCTGCGATTCAGAAAGGTCACCACATCTCGCTTTTCCATTGGGAACAGCGCGCTTCATCGATCCTCCTTCCGGCGACTTCGTGAGCTACGCTGCTCGGTCGCTACAAATTCCACACCCTTCACCGTTTCCATTGTCGATTTTGCATGGCTTGGCAGTCTCCCTCGGCCATGGCTGGGGGCGGAGGGTACGTCGGCCCTGGGGGCGATGGGTCTTCCAACGGCGGGCATCCCCAGGGGACAGAGTACACACTGCAAGGTAGGTTCCGAGTGATAGATATTGACGGTCGTGGAGGAGGCTAATTGCTTTTTCGGTGGTTTCTAGGTGTGATGCGCTTTCTACAGACGGAGTGGCACCGGCATGAACGTGACCGCAATGCCTGGGAAATCGAACGCGCGGAGATGAAGTCTCGCATCGGAAAGCTGGAGGGTGATGTTCGTACGAGTAAACGTTTACATGAATCATTGGGGAAGCACGTCAGGCTGCTTGAGGCCGCCTTGAAGAAGGAGCGCGAGAAGGTCAAGAAGCTTAGCAACAATGAAAAGGTTGAGGACACTAGGGATCCGAAAGAGATTGCTAAGGAAAGCATCAACTCTCTGAAAGGTATGTTTCTTAGTGATCTACTGTCAGGTGATATCGGATCTGTGTATTGATCTCCGTCTAGCCCAACGCCCCAAGCCTCATACGGGACCCAGCGAAGCCGATGTGAACCTTGAGAACGAACACGAGTATCGTCAAGAGAACGAGCGGGAGAAGTCGCGATTGTACCTGTCGAAGTGCTCTCAGGAAGTTGCCTATCATGTCATTCCTTCGTCACACCCCCCTCCTGAACTCGGCGAGCAGGATCTCCCAAATCACATCTACGGCAACCAACAGCTATCCCAACAGAGCTTGGAGGAGGCATACCTCCAGCAGCAACGACAGAAACAGCATCAACAGCAGCAAGCACAAGCGAATGATATGATGGCGCGAGAAGTGGCGCTTCAGAACCACCAACCCGTCATCACGCACTATGCAGATAACTCGGCCATGTCCCGCGCCCAAAATCAGTTTGGTTTCCCACCTGCTACTAGGGAAGCGATGGAGAGACGACCACTGGAGCCACAACAGACCCCGCTTACCGCGATCGATAATCGAAAGCAAACCCTCGGCAACTCGCTAATGGACGAGCGCGCCGGCCAGGGGGACCAGGCGTATGATGGGTATGGCTCTCAATCGGCGGCTAAGGATACCAAGCAACAGCGAATGGAAGAGCAAGGTGATGATGCAGATGGCTGGAACTTCGATGAGCCGGCCGAACCCGCACCGCAGGCGGAACAGGTACCACCGCACCGACCGGATGTTGATGCTTTCCCGAATGCGAACTTCGTCAGTTCCAAGTCTCCGCAGCGGTCCGGCTCTCTTTCGCATCGGCGGAAGAGTTCCGGTGCCAGAAGGAAGAGTGATGGTGCTGTTGACCTTGCAGCGGCGGGCCCCAAGCCAGATCCGACCTTCAAAGTTCGGTTCGCCCTCCGCGGCCATTTGGATGTCGTCCGTTCAGTAATTTTCACGGGCGGCGGAAGCCCCTCTGAGCCGGAAATTTGTACATGCAGTGATGATGGAACGATCAAAAGATGGATTATACCCGCCACCTATGGCACCTTTGGCGCAAGCTCGAGTGACTTGGACATTACCAGCTATTTCACCCACCGTGGACACGTGGGGGCTGTGACTGCGCTTGCTGCATGCTCTCCGCAGAACTTTTCTAACGGTGGTCGTGCGTTAGGGGATGGCTGGGTTTTCTCAGGTGGACAAGATACCAGCGTCCGAGTGTGGGAACGTGGACGAGTTGACCCAAAGGCGACTCTTGACGGTCACACGGACGCCGTCTGGGGTCTTTGTGTTCTACCAGGAACCGCAGGCTCTGTGTTAGGCGATTCTAGCAGCCATTACGGTGGCCCCGATCGCATCCTACTCGCATCCGGTGGTGCGGACGGCCGCATCATCATATGGGCTGTTAGTGCGCCTCCGCAGCTTTCTTCCCCTCAGGCAGGGTCTCGACGCGCTGGTGGTAGCCGGAGAGCCAACTCGATCTCTTCCGGCTCCAACTTCCCCTCGTCACCGCAACCCAGCACGGCTACTACTACGCCATTCCATTACAGTATGGTTCGTCAAATTGTTCGGACCGAATCTCCCTCCCCAACGTGCATCAGTCCGTTGTCGCTTGCAGGTATCAACTTTGTTGTGTCCTACACTGACGCTTCCATCCTTGTGTATGATACAAGGACTGGCGAGGAAATTGTGGGCATGGCGAGTCTTGAGACATATGATGGCACGCCTTCGACTGGCGTTAACTCCGTCGTCGCCACCACCGTCGGATTCGATGGTTCGGCAGGACTTGACCCCAGTCGGACAATGGGCGAAGAGGAGGTCGTCCATGGTGCGACTGGCTCTAGTGGAGTAGAAGGAGTAATCATTAGTGGATATGAAGACCGCTACATTCGCTTCTTCGACGCCAACAGCGGTATGTTTCACAAAGCCTCCTTTGACGTGTGCGTATGCTAATCATCCATAATTAGGCCAATGCACATACACGATGTTGGCCCATCCATCGGCGATTGCCTCGCTTTCGCTATCCCCAGATGGACGTGAGCTAGTCTCTGCGGGTCATGACGCCAGCTTGCGGTTCTGGAACCTCGAGAAGCGGAGCTGCACTCAAGAAATCACGAGTCACCGGTTGATGCGTGGTGAAGGAGTGTGTGCCGCCGTCTGGAGCCGCGATGGCCGCTGGGTCGTCAGTGGAGGTGGTGACGGGGTCGTCAAGGTGTTCTCGAGATAGCGAGGCCCCTTTGCTGATGTATGTTTCTTTCTTTCGACAGCTGATTCTTCCTTTTCCTACGGCATGTTCTTCGCACGCATGAGATGGATGAGCGCTTGGCCGATTCTCGAGCATTTGCAACGGTGTCAATCTACCTGGCATATGTTCCTTTCTACTCCTGTGGTTATAGTTTCTTTACTTTTTACCCTTTTATTGACAATCAGCTGCTTTGCTCGTCCAGCCCTGTCTGATGGTACGAGCCTATGTTTTTCATACCTCTTTCTATTTTTCTTAGCCCTCTCTTTGACTCACATACCCCATGCGGATTCGAAGGGGGTTATAATGTGTGCTTTTATACTCCGTGACGTTCAACCGCCGTCTGCCACACGTCTGCAAGGTGTCTTTATAACACGACCTTTTCGATACCAGTGAATTTCTTGGTGCGTTTCCATATGAATAGGATTTGCGGACCGTGTGGTCGACTTGAATGTCTTGATATCCCTGGCCCCCAGTACATTGGGGGTGCTATGGATGAATGCTGTATGATGATCTCCTTGCCCTGACCTTTAGAGCCTTTGCACCAGCCTGTACACTGCTTGATTTCTGCTCCGATTATTCTCATTATTCTCAAACCCGTCCGCGAACAAGGGTACCTAAGCTTGAAGTATAAATGTATTCAAAGCCGGCGAGCATTGGTCTACCCTTAACCTGTACAATATTCCAGCTCACATATTCCACCCCAATGCAATCTCCCATATGCAATGAAATCTCGCCACATATCCAAATCAATGTCAAAATAAATCCATGACAAGGTATCATATTACATACATACACACCTGCCCACCATTAAAGCACTGTACGCTTCAATACATGAATCTCAATAACTGGCAGCTTATTGCTTCTCCCAAGCTCCCTTAAACACCCCCCTCAACCTCCTCGCCTCCTCACTATCCTTCAACCTCTGCTCCAAGAACCCCTGCAAATCATCCCAGAACGCCTCCATCCTCAACACCTCCTCCCCACTCGGCCCAACCGCCGCCTTAGGCGCAGCAGCAGCACTCACATCCCCCTCACCACTACTGCCTCCTTCCACAACCTTTGCCCCTCCCATTATCATCACCCCAAACTCCACCTCCTTGCCTCCAGCCAACATCTCAGGCTCATCAGCCAGCAACTCCGCGATCGTCTTCCCCGTCACCGGCTTTCGCTTATACAGAATCTTGATCTTCTCCACCGACACCTTTCCGTCCTGTGCGTCAACGACCCGTTCCTGGACTGCGTCTTTGAGGTCCTGCACCGAGGTCGTGGTGATGGGTGCATTGGGTAGCGAGAATTCGAATGCGGGGTTGCGCGCGCTCTTCAGGTGCACGGTTATGGATTTCGACGAGCCGGGGGCTTGCGTGCGCTGCACTTTCTTGGGCATTTCCGGGTGGGGGGCGCTGAGGCGGGGGAGGAGGTACTGTTCATTTTCCTGTTAATATCTTGCATTTGGAGTGTATGAGGGAGATCTTTGGATGGAATGGTTTCACGTACAGGGACGCGAGGTCCAACTCGCTCTTCGTCGAGGACATAGTCTGCTCGGAGCTTGATAGGGCGGGAGTCGAGCGAAGAGAGGAAGGATTTGATGAAGGCGACTTCTGACATCTTGGCAATTTTCTATCTTGTCCGAGAATGAGGTAGCCTGTATGTAGAGCGAGAAAGTGTATAGGTGGGGTAAGAGGTAGTTGGATAGAGGCAGTTATTATGGATGCGGCATGTGGTATTCGCATTACCCAATTGGGCGGTAGCTGAAGCCCATTCCTCCGTGACTGCATTGTTTGCCTCAGGCCATTATGGGCACACCGCCTTGCGGGACTCTTTCTGCCGTCGCCAACCGCCCGCAGAAAAAAAAGTAACGAAAAGAAAAAAGTCTGGATTCTCCGCTGTAGACCCCAGTTATCCAACTTTCACCCCCCTTTCACATTCACATTTTCACTATGGGTGTCGGTCGTCGTATGAAGAAGCAGGGCCCTCCGGCCCCGCTGGATGAGTCTAAGATCACCATCTTCAAGAAGCGCAAGGCTGGTGAGCCCGAGTCGAAGCCGGAGACGGGAAAGAAGCGGAGAAGAGCTGATGCCGATGAGGAGAATGTCGCAAAGCCCGTCGTCAAGAAGAAGGCCAATGGCGCTGCTAATGGCAAGGCGACCAAGGCTGCGGCTAAGCCCAAGGCTGAGACTAAGCCCAAGGCTAAGGCTGTCGAGAAGAAGCCGCAGTTCATGGATTCCGACGATGAGGACGAGGATGAGGATATGTCCGGTATTGAGGAAATGGATGCCGATGAGTTCGACGATCTGGATGGCGTCAGTGATGGCTCCATGGATAGCCAGGAGGAGGACAACGACTCTTTCGTGGACTCCGACGAAGATGACCACCCTCGCGAAGCCATGTTCTCCGACGACGAAGACCTTTCCGACGCTGAAGAGAGGCTGACCGCCGCCAACATCGAGGGATTGTCGCGCAAGCTGGACCTGCAAAGACAGGAAGAAGAGGAGGAGGCCGAGCGCGAAATGAAGGAATCGGCCATGCAGACCAACATCGCTGGTGACCGTCCCGATGTCTTTGGCGACGCCGAGGGCACTCAGCCCGGCCTGGCTCCCGATCTTCAGCTGCTTCGTACCCGAATCACCGACACCATCCGTATCCTGGGTGACCTGAAGACGCTTGGTGCCCCCGGCAAGTCTCGTACCGATTACACTGAGCTGCTCATCGCCGACATCTGCACCTACTATGGCTACACCCCCTACCTCGCCGAGAAGCTCTTCAACCTCTTCACCCCCATGGAAGCCTTCGCCTTCTTCGAAGCCAACGAAACCCCCCGTCCCGTCGTCATCCGTACCAACACCCTCCGTACCAACCGTCGTTCCCTCGCCCAGGCTCTGATCAACCGTGGTGTCGTGCTTGAGCCCGTTGGCAAGTGGTCCAAGGTTGGTCTTCAGGTCTTCGAATCCGCTGTTCCCCTCGGTGCCACCCCCGAGTACCTGGCCGGTCACTACATCATCCAGGCCGCCTCTTCCTTCCTCCCCGTCATGGCCCTCGCCCCTCAACCCAACGAGCGTGTTCTCGATATGGCCTCCGCCCCCGGTGGTAAGACCACCTACATCTCTGCCCTGATGCGCAACACCGGCTGCGTCATCGCCAACGATGCCAGCAAGCCTCGTGCCAAGGGTCTGATCGGTAACATCCACCGTCTGGGCTGCAAGAACACCATCGTGACCAACATGGACGCCCGCACCGCCTTCCCCAAGGCCATGGGCGGTTTCGACCGTGTCCTGCTCGATGCCCCTTGCACCGGTACCGGTGTTATTTCCAAGGACCCCGGCGTCAAGACCTCCAAGAACGAGCGCGACTTCCTCGCCATCCCCCACATGCAGCGCCAGCTTCTTCTGGCCGCCATCGACTCCGTCGACCATGCCTCCAAGACCGGCGGCTACGTCGTCTACTCCACCTGCAGTGTCACCGTCGAGGAGAACGAAGCCGTCGTGCAGTACGTCCTGCGCAAGCGCCCCAACGTCAAGCTCGTCGACACCGGCCTCGGCGACTTCGGCAGCCCCGGTATGACCAGCTACATGGGCAAGCACTTCGATCCCAAGATGACCCTGACGAGACGCTACTTCCCCCACCGCGAGAACGTCGACGGTTTCTTCGTCTGCAAGCTCAAGAAGACTGCCGCCACCCCTACCCCCAAGCCTGGCGATGCCGCTGCCGCTGCCCCTACCGACGGCAACTCCGCCAAGAAGTCCAAGACCCTCTCCGTCGCCTCCACCACCACCGATGACGACGAACCCATCGACAAGACCCCCATCACCGACGAAGACGGCATGGTCATTGAAACCGAAGGCGGCAGCTTCGGTCCCTTCGAAGAAGATGAGGAGGACGCTGCTCGCATCGCCCGCGCTGAGCGCAACCGTCTCCGCCGCAAGGGTCTGAACCCCAAGGCTATTCTCAACAAGCCCGCCAAGTCCAAGTCCAAGGACGAGTCATCCGCCCCTACCGAGAAGACCGAGGAGAAGGAGAAGAAGAAGGAGGAATCCCCCAAGAGGGAGACCCCCGCGAAGAAGGAATCCAAGGAATCCCCCAAGCCGAAGGCCGATTCCAAGCCCACCAAGACCAAGACCGAGACAGCAGAACCCTCTACGACAAAGAAGCAGCAACAAAAACCCACCACCGCACAAGAACCCACAGAGAAGAAGAAGAAGACTACTGCCAAGAAGGCAAGCAAGAAATAAGCCATCCATCATCGGCTTAATTCATCCTTCTTTACCTTCTTCTTCTCTTCTTTGTAATTTACATATGTGGTGATTGTTGATGATGTTGTTTCTTGTTTGACATAAAAAGCATTTGTCTTGTATTGTTGGTCTGTATGGGCGGCGCATGCACATGTCTTCTATTTCTCTTTTTTTTTTTTCTTTGATATGATGATGGTGGTAGATAGATAGCTTCGTTCTACTTGGGCTGGATGAGTCGAGTCAAGTCAATAGATACCATTATTTTCTTTTCTATTTTCTATTCTGTTATTCCTGGTTGGATAGGAGATTGGTTTGGTTGGATACTGTAGATGTAAATATGTAGTACGTAGTAGGGACTGGTGTCCCTTGCGTGAGATAAGGTATGGGGCACAATGTATTGCCAATTGAAGATTGGTTGTCCTATATATTGCTGCGAGTAATAGATGGCCTATTATGTAGTAGTACTACTGTGAAGATGCTATCGGCTTCTACAATATATCTACTGCGGGCTTGTAGAAGTGAAATATAAATTCTTCAGATTGCTTGAAACTCCAGTAGAAAGTAAAACGGATAAAACAAACGTGTCTAGAACTCCAAATCTGCTGACAACATCGTGTCTAATTATCAACCAAGCCAATCACTCCGGTCTTTGCAACATCCTGGGTATGATAAAGTCTTCAATGCAATATTATACGAAACCGAATGTAAGGGGACGTATGTTTCTATTTTTCCCTTTGCCCTGCTCGCACAGCGTGAGTAGAGACAGTGTAGACACCCACCCTGTAGAAGGCGCAGATGTAACGGGCGTGCTGGAAGAAGCACTGTAACTGGTACCATATTTACCCGTGATACCGACCTTCTTGGTGCGCTTCGTCATCTTGTCTCTGTGCGGCTGTCGAGGAGGAGAAGGAACGAAAATAAAGGAAGGAACAAGGTGTTGGGATGAGGGCAGGCAGCACATGCCTACTATGTGCGGTAGATCTTGACCACGCTGATGATATTCTTGCGGCAGATGGGGCAGAGGTCGACCTGTCGAGCGCAGGTCACGCAGGCACAGACATGGCCACAGTCATAGAACAAGGCGTCTTGCTCCTCGCCGTAACAGATCTGACACAGATCCATTTCTTCATCGGCTACCTCCCAGTAGCTGATACCCTTGCCGTGACGCTTGCCGTCCTTGTACCCGCCGACATACTTGTTGCCCGTCTTGCGCTCGACGTACGTGCCCTGTCCGTGGCAGATACCGTCGAACCAGTCACCGTCATACGTGTCACCGGTCGGATACTCCATGAAGCCGCTTCCATGGCGCTTGCCTAGCACGAAGTCTCCGACGTAGGTTGCGGCCAGGTCAGAGATGTGCTTGCCCTTGCCGTGGAAGTGACCCTTGTTGAACTCCCCACTGTAATAGTCGTTCGTGAACGATGCGTCAATGGTCTTGAAGCCCGTAAAGGCACGCGTGGGGTGGTTGCGAGACTCAGCCCACAGATAGCGGACTAGCTGGTCAGGATTGCCGAAGAGACCGGCCACGTTGAGCTGCAAACGTCTAAAGAGTAAGAGGTTAGTCTGACTGTAATGACCCGAGAATACGTCGTGCTTACCTGTCCTTGTTCAACTTGTCACCCACAATAAAGCAGGTACCATCGGGCACATAAACCTCGAATGTCTCACCCGAAGCCATGGTGGTCACCGTGGTGCCATCGACACGTTGCCAAATCTGGAAATCCTTCATTGGCGGGATCTTGAGATGCCTCCGGACGGCAGTCTTGATATTTTCTTCCTTCTTCGAGAAGAAGGATCCCACTGTGCGCAAGGCCTGCGCTTCCACATCGAACTTTTGGATGAAGTAGTACACGTGGTCTACTGGCTGGGGGACCTCCGGCTCAATTGATGGAGCAGGAATGTCTGCAGCTGTACTAGCTTGGGGCTCAGGCTCATCTGGAACCGCCTGACTGGGTTCCTGCGTGGCCGGGGGAGCTGCGTCGGGGACTCGGTCGGTATCCATCTGCTGGATATCTTCCGCGATAATGGCAGCAATCACTGCATCGTTCTCGGAGTCTCCAGTCGTAGGTGCACCCGTGCCACCCAAGTCCGTAGGTACAGGATCTTGAGGGACGATTTCAATGTGTGAAACATTCACAGCATTGGCGATTGTCACACCACCGGTGGCACTCATGCTGTTCTCCGGTAGAGTTCCCGATGAGCTCGCGCGAGCTTCACCTTCGGGAAGAGGCAGTCTATCTTCCGAGGATTCCGAACCAGCGCGTTCGACCACAGCCTCCTCCGGTTTGGCATGAATTGCAATCGCCTGTGGGGGATCCGCTATGGCGAAGAATTTGGCGTTCTCTGCTCTTTTGATTAGTATGGTGTATATCACGTAGA